TTTACTAAAACCTTGAAGCATATTACGTTATATGACAAGGGAATTCAGGTAGCTAGCTCATTAGTGAACCTTAAGAAAATTGTCCTAAATTATGCACTGGGCCCAAGAAATCCCTAAAAGTGGAAGAAGGGATAATAAAAGTCGGAAAACAAGAGATGCAATGATAGAGGAAAAGTCAGAGCCAGGATAACTGCTTTGACAGCGAAGAGAAAAACCAAGAACCAGGGGATGAGTGATCTCTAGGATGTGCAAAGACAAGAAAACACATGGTCTCCTAGGTCTTCTAGAAAAACACGAAGTCCTGATAGCTATATTTTACCTCAGTGACATACGTGTCAGTTAGACTTCTATTGATTTATAAAATGATGAATTTGTGTTGTTGAAGCCAACAGGAAGTGATCAATTGATTAGGAGGTTAATTATATTTAATTTCTTTATATAGATATCTATGTCTATACATATAAACAGATACAATCATTTGAGGTAGTTATATATATCTGCATAGCTTGGGGATATTCCAAGAAACTAGACAGTTTTTAATCATAAGACTATGAGTTATACAGTCATTAATAAGATGATTTTGCTAATAAAAACTTACAGGAATAAACTGATCACTAGTTCAGCTGTGAGTCACAGCTCAGATTGCTTTCAGCCAATTTACCAGACTCATTCATTCCTTTGGATTTTCAGATGAAGCCTTTAATTGAATAAACACACATTATTCAACAAAGCTAAGTTTATAAAATATGAACATCAAGTGCCAGAATAAGATGGTGTCTTTCTTCATGGAAAAAACAGAATGAAGCAATAAATGAATGTGTACTCTGCTCCCAGTCATACATAAAAGATTATAAACATGAGCTCAGGAGGCCGAGGCAGGAGAATAGCTGTGAGTTCTAGGCCAGCCTCTATTGTGAGTTCAAGGCCAGTCTGAACCACACAGTGAAAATCTGTCTCAAAAAAAAAAACCCACAAAAGATTATAAACATCATATTGAATGAAAACAATATTGTTCTGAAATAAATACTCATTTTAAAGATGAGGAAACTGGATCCAAAGAAATTCAGTTAGAGACACTAAGATTTTTTCTTTTGTTTTTTGCAGTATTAAGGATGGAAGCCAGAGCCTTGTGTGCCTTAGCCAAGCACTCTAACTTGAAGCTCCAGAACTCCAGCTAAGTTTTAAAGACAGGATTACTACATAAGCATCTAATGCTCAGCTTGTGCATTTAGCCACTGCCCTATTCTCTCCACCCTGTCACATGATAAGGTCCTTAAGTAGCAAGGTGAAGATGTAGTTTAGTTTTAGTAGAAAAAGAGCCTGGGATAACAGAGGCAAACAGGGATTTTACAGTTGATATATTGTAAAATTAGAAAAGTAAAAATGTTTATAAGTTACGGACAGTTTCATACCAAAGAAATTAGTCTTTCCACATTTTTACTTTGCACATAGCAAGGAAAAACAACTCTGCTCAGACAAGTCATTCAATTACTCATGACACTTCAGATTTTGCAAAAGGTACGTCCTTGATACAAGCTACTGTTTCAATTTCCTGCATTGGTGGCAGAAAAAATGTATGTAATATATCCACTATTTTTACATAGGAATGGCTAGGGACACAAGTGTAAATATCACTTCCACTGGAGAAAATAAAAACATCAAATATGGAAAATTCAAGACCAAAATAATCAAGATTTCTTTTTTTTTTTTAGAAAAAACATAGTAGTAAACTATTTTAGGTGAAGAGGTAGGGTCGGTAGGCATTACTTCATATGGTCAGATGATTCTCCACATTTGTTTAAAAAAACTTAGAACTATCAAATCAAAGTTATGATCCTGATCTAAAAGACTTTTTTTCTACATGCCTGCAATTAATTTTCAAGTAAATAGCATATAATAATTTAAAATCTATTAACATTTAAGAAGGGCTATTATTATTCCAGATAAAATTTAAAATAATCTATATTATATAACATAATTAGGAATAAATTTTCTAAGAATCAGAGTAAAGATAACTTAATTCTAAAATAAATTATCCTTATTAGCTCAAGGAATGGTCAATTTTTCTCTTTAGAAAATATTCTTACAAGGTCAATCCTGGCATTTCACTTGAGCATCCTATGAGAAGTATGCTATAGTTCTGTAGGCTGATAAATTGCCTGCACAATGTGGAGTTAACAGAACTGCCCATGGCTGAATGGTGTAGACTAAAATGGATGAAAACAACAAGTACTTGGGCACATCAGATACAGGAAATGAAAACTCAGTCAGTCACACTGAGATCATGTCCTTGATTTGGATTTAACTGTCTAGAGAATTACCAGGAGGCAAGGTGCTTTTTTGTTTAACAGTACACTGGATTAAAATGAATATCAACACATGGAATCCAACCACTCTACTGATGCACTGGAAACACATTGAAATGACTAATGGTTGGGACTCCAGGATCGCAGTAACAGCAGTGCATTTTTCTGTCAGTAAAGTGAGGATAAGGACACCTGCTCTCAATCACTGGATTGTCACCTCCCACCTCATAAACCCCTGCTCCTTTCTACAATCATAGAAATCTTTGTAATGTATAAACCTGATCAAATCTTTTTTCTGTGTGTAAGTTCTCACTGTTCACCTTTGTTCCTAGGATTAGGTATAACTTCTTCAATATGACTTGCCTGTTCCTGTAGGTCTGGCTTCAACTTATGTTTCCATTTTTATTTGAGATTTTTCCTCTTTTTGCTTTAATATTTTTAATTCAGGGTTCTTAGCCCAGTAGTAGTCTATTTGTAATTAATTGTTCATTCAGGTACATCTAACATCAAGTCTGTAATGTCCTCCATATGGACAGAGATTACTTTTATGCTGTGCGTTGTTACAACTTTAAATGCTCACTACAGTGTTTGCATTATAAGTAGCTGATTAATAAATATTTGCTAAAAATAAAGCATAGGGAAAGAGGAAGAAAAATGGTTAATTTGAAAATGGGCTACATGCAAACATGATTTTAAAAGGTGTCATTAACAATTACATTATTGGGATCATGAAAATGTCTCTTAGAAAGCATTCACATAGCAGTGCAATATGTTAATCTATGGCCTCACTTCATCTTTTTGGCAGATATTTACAGGAAAATCACAGAACAATCACAGGACATGCATTCACATTAGAGTTATTGAAATTATTCAATTTTCCAGACCTCAGTCAATACAAAGGATCACCACAAGCTTAATTAATATGAAAAATACTATAAAATCCAAATCAGCACCAGAGTTCACAGATATTGTGTAGCTGGTCTCACATAAACAAAGCCAGCCACAGATATGATGTCCAAATTCAGATTGTGAACTTCTCAAACAGTTGATTCACTCTTTACATACTTTTTTAATGATATACACTAAGTTACCCAACCATGGAAAATAAATACTGACACCATGATGGGAAATATGACCACAGAAAGAGGACAAGAGTGAAGTTGCTGATTCTTAAGAAATTATTTTTACTCTACAGTCTAGAGGAGAAGTGCCACTTCATTGATCTTATGGAGAAGTTTCCAAAATTCAATTTGATATGCCAATTACTGATGCCTGGAATTATGATAGAAAAACTGGAAGAAGTTGCAAAGGAAAAAACTCTTTTACCAACATCCTAAAAATGGTATGTAGTTCTTAAATGAAGTGAAGATATATCCCTGGGAGCTTGGTCCAGAAGTTCTGTCAGATTTCCTAAATCTCTTGAGTTCCTTAAATTGGCAAAATGTGTTTCTTTTTTCCCAACCACTGGTAGAACTGTATTTATTACTTTAATGAGCTTAGACAGAACCTTAAAAATACATTTTCAAACTCAACTTTTGGGGCTGGGGATTTAGCTCAGCGGCATAAGTGCCTGCCTTGCAAGCAGGCAGTCGTGAGTTCGATCCCTGGTACTGATAAAAAAGAAAAAGACAAAAAAAAAAAACAAAAAAAAAACCACTCAACTTTCAGTCAATTTTATATGTATAATTTTAGTTCCTCAGGAAATTGGATGCACATAAATTTTATGTAAAAGATTTTAAATTCTCTTTCATTGGAGGTGGTGTCAAAACATTACCATTTTATTCATTATTACAATCAAATTTTACTATTTTTATTTTCAAAGATTTTGTGATCAGTTTAATAAAAATAACTCATTGCTATTTCTACTACAGCATTCAATATGATTTCTAAGCCATCAAATACTTGGTACTAATCAAATAGCTTGCATACTACTACTTACTATAAAGCCAAAGTCAGAGATAGGATAAAAGATTTTTGTATAACTCTCTGCTATTAATTCTAAAGAGGTGTATCTTGTTGATAATTTATTTATTAATTGAATAATTATCTGAAGAATGCATTTTGAATGCTAAACATTTTTCCTAAGTACTTGGAATATAAATGATGAAGTGAAACCACTTGTGTTTCTTCTTACATTGCGATTAATATCTAGTAGGGAAGATGACATCTACCAGACACAAAATAAGGGTGAGCTTAAGAGGCAAATAGGAGTAGCACTGTCAAAGAGAACATTAAAAATAGAGTTCAAAGTTTTACTTTTCATTAAGTATATATTCAACTTTAGATTTCTTTTTTATATTTATTAAAAAGACTAAAAGCAGAGATATTACCTTTTCTATTTTATTCATTTGATTTTTATAGATGATGAGGAATATTTTGACATATTGAGCTTATAGAATAAAGCAGACCTTTAGCATGTTCTACCCTGCATTTTAAACAGATATACCAGAGAAGGACAGATACTGTGGGAAATGGCAAACCTGTATTTACCTCTCAGTCAAATCAGATTTTCCATGCATTCTCTCAAGGTGCAAATAAAAGTTGTGGCACAATTACTATCTTTTAGACTGCACAGATTTACTCATATTCTAGAGAATGACAGAATCAAGGAAAAGAATAGACTCTGAAAAAACGACAGAGTATAAGGTCAAGTCAACGCCAAAGACATGAGGGAAGAAGTCAGAGAACACTTACTGGTAGGTGGTCGGGCTGACATTGATGCGCCGAGGGTGGCTTCCTGATTCAAATTTGCTTGCCAGAGTGACATTATTTCCAAAGAGACAGTATCGAGGCATTCTCACCCCAACAACACCAGCCAGCACGGAGCCTGAATGAATGCCTATCCTCATCTAAAAGAAGAAAAAGGAAAAAGGTAAAGAAGGAAAAGAAAATACGTATTTGTTTCCATTTGGTATGCAATTATTTTAATGGGAAGTACTTCTAATTATTAAATAATTAAATTAAGAACTGAAAACATAAACTGAATCTAAGTCATTTTGTGAGCTTATATAATGCTTAATCAACATTATAGTTCTCAATCAACATAAATGTGAAATGAACAGGTTAAGTATATGAAAAAATTCACTGCATAACTGTTTCTATTACAGGTTCAATCAGCTTTCATTTGCACATAATATTCTTCAATAAAATATACATTACACCAGATTCTCTTTTATAGAAAGCCCTGCTTTTTCCCTTTATAGCATTAAACTCAATTGTAAGTTAATATTTGTATTTCTGTATTGTTTAATTAGGCATTAGATTTTCCCATGAGAAGACTGTATGTGTATTTTCTTACTTTGGAATATTCAGCACTTAGAATAACACACGAAGGAAACCATTATTTACTGAATAGTAAATAATGAAAGTAGCATAAATTTCCAGAATTCCACAGCATATAACTAAAATGGAGTAACAGAGCACTCAATCCTGGAGTCAGCCAAGGCACTGACAAAACGAAAAGTACACTAACCACCATGCTTTACTCTCTGAGAATCTGATTTAAGTAAGTCTGTCCCACATCATGAAGGTGCCCTCAACATGCTGCTGCTGTACACTCAAATGGGATCCATAATGAAGCTTTATTAACAGAGTCCACACCAAAAACTAGTGAACTGAAACTAGTGGGGGAAAAAGTAGGAAATGATATCCTTAGTTTTAAGACAATGCAGCCAGAACATCTAATTTCTAGATACAGAACAGGAAGGCAAACTGTCAACCCTTCACTACCACATCCTTCTTGCCACTACAGTTGTGAGGACAAGGTGGTGATTCTAGACAATGGTGGTGAACCTATAACATTTATGTTATTGTGTTTTTCCTTTAAGACAAAAGATGTTAGTGTATAAATCCTTTTTTAAAAAAAGTAAAAGTTCAGTGTTCAGGTGTAATTGCAATGTTGGCACTCTGCAATAAATAACAGGCTTTAGGGTTGCAGTTTGGACACGTATTTCTAAAAGCTTTGCCATCACTGCTCTACATCAACACTAGTTGACAGACTGAAATGAACGTCATGCAACTGTGGACTCCAATCATATCCTCATTTGCTATTTAAATACTATAAAATTTATTTGGAAAGTTGATATGATTGGAAGTGCTAAGATACAGCAGAAAAAGTAAACAATGGAGTAATTTATCCTGCCAGATATTGTTTTAGTGCAAATATATTTAATTAAAGTATGAATATCGTTATATAAAGAAATAGACTACTGAAATCAGTGATATAAGTTAATGTTTCACATTAGTGCAAAAAGATGGCTTTGAGTTAGAATGTTCTCAATCAACTCTGTCTTCATATGAAAACAAATTCCAAGTAAACTGAAGACCTAAATATTAAAGGCATAACTTTACAGCTTTAAAAAAATTGCATTAATTAAGAAAAGGTCAATCTGCTGTATTAATAAAATGTAAAACACAAACACTTTTAAAAAGTAGCTTTGCTAGATATATTGGTGCATTTCTATAATCCCAGCACTCTGAGAGCATGAGACCGGAGCAAACTGAAGCTCAGTCTAAGCAATTTAGCATTATAGTGAGACTCTGTCTTAAGGCAAGGTTGAGGGAAGGGAAGGCTGGGACGTAGCTCAGTGCAAAGGCCTTGAGTTAAATCGTAGCAAAATCGAAAAAAATAAAACAAAAGCCTTTAATTTGTCTCTCAATATCAGTTTTTGGGAAAGTGTTGTGAATGGTCAGTAGCCCTGACCCCTCCAGTCCTCTGTATTGCACTCCTCTTCCATGTCTTATATCCCTATGTTCTAGATTATGGAATGGAGGAAGATGGATGGCAAAAGTTCAACACAAGCATCATGAAGTAATCATTTGATATGATTTTCATTTCACTGTGTAGGTCCAGACTGAATGTGATATCGTTTTCATTCTGCCTGAAGGACTTCAACATTTCTACACTAAGTTCACTCATACTGAATTCGATCAGCCTTTATGTGCTCAAAAAAACTTTATTTTGCCTTTCCATTTGAAAGATATTTTGGTTTTGAAAGAATTCTAGGTTGACAGTTTGTTGTTTTCTTTGCTTGTTTGTTTATTTGCTCTTCTTTTCGGTACTTAAAACATATTTCCCATTATCTCCAACTCCATTGCTTCTGGTGAGAAATCACCAGCCATGCTTATTTAACTTCTCTATACATCACATCTGTTTATCCTGGCTGCTTTTAAGTGTTTCTTATATTGCTAACTTAAGTAATTTGGTTATGATTTCTTTGTTGATCGCATTATATTTCATGTACTCTTAGTTGTTACACAAAAATCTCAAATCTATGGTTTGTATTAAAACTAAAAAATTTCCATACATTTTTAGGTTTTTGTTTTCTGTACACACCTCCCTCTCAGAGATTAAGACCATGTATGTTGGGATACTTGATTTTTTTCCCCAAAGTTACTGATGATACATTGATTTGAAATATTTTCTCTGTTTCAGTTTATTTTTGGATTTCTACATGCCTCCAAATTGGCTAATCTTTTCTCTTGCAATGTCTAGTCTCTTGTTAATCATAACCAGTATATTTTGCATCATAGATATATAATTTTCTTCTCTAGAAGTTAAATTTAGGAGTTTCAAATTAAAGTATCAATTTAACCTTCTAGCATATGAAATATAGCTAAAATAACAGTCTTAATATTCTTGTCTGCTACTTGTAAATTGGTTTTTCCATTGTGCATCAGTCAGTTTTGATGGACTGATTTTTCTTTTCATTGAGTCATATTATTTTTTAGCTTCACTTCATGTTTAGTAATTTTTATTGGACATCAGATATTATAGATTTGACTTTATTGAGTGCTGGACACATATATTCTAAATGTTCTTGAATTTTTTTCTGGGGTGTTTTCCGGGGTGAAAAGAGTGTTTTTTTTTTTTCCTTTCATGTCTTAATTTTTAAGATTTGTTGGGGAAGTCTGGAGCAGTATTTTGTGAAGGGTTTATTATCTTCCATCATTAAGGCAAGAACATCTGAATATTATCCCTAATGCAAATTTATGAACTTTTCCATTCTGCCTGATGGAAAGAGACATTCTTTTTTCCCCAAAACTTACATGACAATCAGACATTTCTTTCTTCAATGACATTGTATGTCCTCTTCCCCTTCTTTTGGGGCTCAGGTAGTTCCTCAGATTCATGCAGTAACCAATACTCTACTGAGTACATGAGAAGGACCCTTGGAACATCTAAGGTGGCCTTTGTACAACTCTGGTGTATCTGATAATCCGTATGCTACCTCTATCCTCTTAGGGTTCCCCAGCTGCTCAGCTCAATCTCTTCAATTCTAGGAGTGTGTCAGGGCCTCCTTGTTACCTCTCCTTGAACCACAGTCTGGAAGTCTCCTGTTACGGATTAAAAAGTTGTGGTCAACTTAATGCTAGCCGAATTAAATAACCATGGTGTGGAGTATACATGTTCCACATGAGGAAAGTTGCCAACGTAAATAGAGATGCGGAGAAGGAGAAGGAAGGTGTTGAGGCATTGAGCCATTGTAGCATTGTGGCACTGTGGATTGTCCCACGTGTTGCTGTTTGAGCCATTGGTTCTCCTGAAGAAGCTTTGGTCCTCACATGAAGCACTGCTTCCTGACACTGGAGAGAAGGACTTTTGCTGCTTAATCTCCAGGACAACTCATCATGCTGACTTCCTGGCATGCACTCAACTGTGTTTATCCTCAGAGGAGCTTGTGATCTCCGTGTTGCTGAGAATAGCTGTGGTGCTTTTCAGAACAGCCCTGGTCTTTGTTTTGAGTGTGACTTCTTGGCTCTAACATAGAATCCTCAACCTACCACACAGCTCCTTCACCCTGTTGGCATAGACTTTCTAGATTCCACCACTGACATTTGGACCTTCCTAGCACGGATCCATAAAAGAGATGGGCGTGAGTCTTTCCTGTGTGCTCTAGACCTCCAGTTGTACTCATGGGTGGCACTGTCATAGGCTCTAGGTCTTTATCTGGACTCATGCAGGACATTGCTGTGGGATTCAGGCCCTTGGCTAAATATTCTATGTTTTTAGTGTTGTGGATAGATTTCCTGCACTTTCTTGTGTTAACTCTGGGTTAACATCATAAAATAATATTATAAACTCCATGTCCTGATTTTAATTGTTCTCCTTACAACCCCTGACTACATCTCCCAAGGCAGAAAGGTAAAATAATGACAGAGTTCATCTCGTTTCTTTGCTAGTGCTCAAGGACTACTGTCTTCCACTGCCTAGCATCCAATGTCCTGAGCACAATTCTTTTACATAATTTGTCCAGACTTTTCATTTTATAAAGATGGAATAAAACTCCAATTCTTGTAACTCTTTTTTTTTTTTTTTGTCTTTTTCATTTTTTTCTGTACCAGGGATCGAACTCACAACGACACACTTGAAAGGCAGGTGCTTATACCACTGAGCTAAATCCCCAGCCCCTGTAACTCTTATTTTAAAAGCAAAAGCAGTGAATCTTCTAAAAAACAAGTCTATTTCTGATGAGAGACTGTTTCCTTTCAAACAAGGTATTTGTAAAAGCGCCTTTCCCAAAAATTAGCAACATACCCTTTCGTATTATATTCACTTGAGTTTCTGTAATTTCAGAAAGTTTATATCTATTGTTACCTTGTACAACAGGCTTGCCAAAACAACACCCAGACCTTATATTGTAAGACTATCACATTGAGTCTATGATTACTGCTGTAATCCTTTTAAGCAGATGAACAGGACAGAGTCCCTGTTAACAAATTTCCTGGCCTCTCTATTCTGTGCTTTCTATTTGAGAAAGACTTCCATCAAATATGTAGACAGCTTATGTAGTTCTACTTCTGACTCCTTTCAAAATGTGTAACTAAAAATATCATCAGTATAAGCGCT